AGCCCCAGAAACCTGTCTTCCATGGAAGGCGGGTGGGGGTGGGGGGAAGAAGGGTGGCGGGGAGCACAGGCCCCTCTGCATCCCAGCCGGGTCTTCCCGAGGCCCCAGAGGGGGCGGGCTTCCCAGAGGAGCCTACCAGGCCAGGAATACCTACTTCGGGGCCCCTGGGGAGGAGGAAGGCGCCCCGCCTCCAGCGGTCCCTGCTGGGGGCCCCGCCATGGGCCGGGGGGCCCTGAGGCCAGAGCAGGGGCCCACCTGAGCACCACAAAGCAGGTCTTCCAGTGCTCCTTGCCCAGGTAGGAGGTGCCCGCCCTGTAGTGCAGCATGCCTTCTTTGGTGGCGGTGCCCTCGGGGGGTGAGCAGCGGCAGGGGGCAGGGCCCAGGGGCTCGTCCAGGGGGTCCTCCCAGTGCACGAGCCCGTAGAAGCACACGGTGACAGCGGCCGCCTGGGGAGGGTGAGGTGCGGGCAGCTCGCTGACAGGCGCCAGGGGGCAGGCGGGGAGGGCGACGTGGCCCCGGGGCACCCACGTGCTTCTGTGACCCAAACGCCAGGGCTGGCACCTCTGAGAGGACAGCCCTCCTGCCTCGCCAGGTTCTTACCTCACACCTAGATTCCTGGGCCACAAATTTGGCCAGAGCCAGCTTCTCCATGGTGGCATCAGTCAGGACGCTGGGGTAGGCGGGCTCCCGACAGCCCTTCACCATGGCTGACTTCAGAGAAGCCAGAAAGAACCTGTGCGGGGAGTGGGGTCTAGGTCAGAAACACCGTGGGGGGTGCCACCCTCCACCGGGCAGGGCTCAGGCCTCAGCTCGGCCTGGAAGGTCACAACGAGGGCGGGGCCTGGCTGGTGAGGGGCCAAGGCGCGGGAGCAGTGCACGGGCGCCCTGGAGGAGTCCTGACCTCCTGCGTGGCCTGGGGGCTGGGCCCGGACAGCGACAGAGGCGGCCCTCTCGCTGGCTGCGGGAAACTGCTGCCAGCCCCTCCTCTCTGCAGGTCACGCAGGGCTTGAGGTCACAGGGGCTGCCCCCCAGAGTCGATGGGTCAGGGTCCGCGCCCTGCCCCTCTCACCAGGCTGCAGGCTCCGGAGCGCACATACCTGGGTGCCCCTCTGCGTCCCACACTCCGCCCCAGGGGCAGGCAGATGCCACCTGGGGTGTTACTCACTCGGCCAGCGTCAAGTCGGCCGTATCCAGCAGAAACTGCTTCCTGCGGTTGGTGCACACGAGCCTGACGGTCTGCTGGTCGAGACCCACCTGCCAGAAAGCACACCCCCACATGGAGAGGAGGCAGCCAGGGTCCAGGCTGGCCGGGGGGGCAGGACGCAGACCTGGGGGAACCGCAAGGCAAAGCCCAGAGGTGTGGGACCCGGCAAGTGAGGGGGGACGGTGGGCGAAGAGGTATCGCAGGCTGGCGTCAGGTGCAGAAGCTGCCCCGAGAGAGAAGCCGACCCGGGGCCACGGCCGGGCACGGTGGCTCTGCGGTGGCCCACCCGTGACACACCCCCACCCGGGAGCCCGACTCACCGACACGTAGTCGAGCTCATTGTAAGAGACGGCCTCTTCCACCAGGTACGGCTTCTCTGTGGCCCCTGAGAGGACACCCGACGCCTGTTACCC